AAAGCTATAACAGTCCTTGAAGGCTTGTTCTTGGTTGTTTTGGTTTTCTTTTCTGATAATTGTAAGATGCCAGAAGTTAAAAGGAAATTAATCAACTCTTGCATTCAAAATGCATCTATGCACTCAAAAAGTACTAACAAATAACACGCTCCAATTCGTACCGACATACTTAAATTGTATCCAAACGTTTAAAAGCCTCCAACTTCATAGGATAGGGGATGTATCTATTATGAAAGAGAGTATAAGGACAGGTCAGAAATTAACAAAAGAAATGTATTAGTCTGATTTAATTAATGATATTTTAAGAAGAAAAATACGCGTAAACAAAAACAGCTGTTAAATTCATGGCTGCCATGTTGGTTACCTACGCCCCAACGGAGAGCAATGTGACTACATTTTCGACCTAACATCTAGCATTGGCCCTGACCTGTTAGATCGAGCATTGTTGACTAGTCGATTCTTGACATCGTCGTCATTTTTGTCGATTTAACATGACCTAACAGACTTAACAGGGTTAACACAAAGATCGTGAATACTACTAATATCGTTTTTTTTCCTTTCAGAAATTAAGGTTTGGGGCCATAATGCGAGTTTAACAAACGATGACAGAATATAAACAATAAACGTAATTAATGTATACTTAAGTGAAGAAGCAAAATTATTGGAATTAACAACGAAACAAACGAAATGCATTTTTTCAAACCTTTTGCCATAATTTCGTCATTTTTTGTCTAATTTAAAATCCGATTGCACCATTGTAAATGAAAAAGTTAGTTACGAGTGGGATATTTCACGATAGTTCAAGTGGTTAGAGCAGCGGCGTATTGAGCCGAAGGTCGTGGGTTCGAATCCCTCTCGTGACACTAGCTTTTTCATTTCAACCAAGGCCTTATATAAAAAGAATAATTAATTGAAATATGTAAATTGGTCAATTAGATCACTAAACATAAATGAATTATTAAGATAAAATGTTCTGCTTTCTTAGATATTATCTTACTTTTGCATAAATGTAACCGAATGTAATAAAATAAAAAATATTACTTACCGACGAAAAAGATTAATTAATTGAAAGAAGTTATTTGGTCAATCGGACCACGAAATAACGATTGTTGTTAGAGTCAAAATTCCTTTAAAATATTGTGTCAGGATATGTAGGGTCGTATTAGAAATTGTGAAGTTGAACTGGGCCCGAGGTACTCTGCATTATTTTTCTACAACAAAGGTAACAATTTGAAACTAGACCAAAATATATTAAACAAGTATTTTTTTAATAGTGTCATTGGTTCAAGAGAAATTCAGCCGCGCTATTTAAAAAGGGCATCATGAATAGAATATATAATTGACAAACCAAACATACGCAGAAAACAAACATTTTGAGTGAGTAGAAATACTTTGATTGAATGTAAAAAAATATTTTTTTGCATTGTATAAATTCACTTTTTTCCACATGCTATATGTTTTTGTTATAAACAATGTTTGTAAATCCCAGGCCCTGAAGATGATCTCAACAAAGACCGAAACGTTGGCACGATAAAGGAAATGTTTTTCTGAAACCTACATCACACCAGACCGCATCTCACGATTTCTGAATAATCATCGACTAACGGTCACTAATCACCGCACTCTTATACATAAATCTGAATCCCTATAAAAAAAGAAAACACCTTATATTGGTTCTATAAAAAATCAATTTAAGTAAAACGTCGATGAACTAATAAAAATATGAAACGGCTCCCATTCACGGTTTCCTCCCGGGATTGTATATGCCTGTGGAATTGTAAATATTCCTGGTTCAAACGTTCTAAATCATAACCACTCTATTAACACACCTCTTAAAAGATAATCTTGTTCTTTCCCATACGTTCCGCTCGTTCATCATCCCCGGCCGGACCTTTCTCTTCTGATCTTTTTGATCAGGTCGCGGATATTAATGCCTCCTCCTACCCGAGAAACTCCTGTCAATTTGGTTCAGATATATCGCCGGGGCTCCCGGGCATTTTTATTCAAGTCGTTCTATATTCAAGCCAGGACGGATTGCGTTTTGAAACCAATGACAAATGCCGGAGGTGCTGAAGGTATGTTAACGTACCTTGCGGTTATTTTTATCATTTTATATATTTTAATATATTACATGTAGTATATATTTTGGTAAATCAAAAAACAAAGCTTGTACTAGACAGCAGGAGATCATCAGAGAAATAAACAGAATATATCTTTACAAAATGAAAAATAAACAAATAAACATACATAATACAGAATAAGCTTTTAGCATGAAAAAACCAACCAAATTACAACTTGGCTTTAAAATATCTTAACTAAAATTTAAAATTTTTGAAATTATCAATTTTCTCCTTTTTTGTTGTTTTTGAAATTTTGTATAATAATCCTCTCTTTATAAATAAAAAAAGTGCCATATTTAATGAAAAATTATAATATTGCGGATTTTTTACAGTGTAAAAATGTGAGTTAGCCAATGAATTGTGTCTTGTGTTGTATTCACAGATGTAAGTAGTTTCAAGATTATTTTTATATATACAATCATGAACATTTAAGAAAGATTTAGTATAGATTCATTGCTCTAAATTCACTGTATAATTTTTTCGTATTATATTTATACAATTTATGCAAAATAATTTTAAGAAGTTAGTTTATAGTTACATCATTTCATAAAGTTTCGTAAAATTCTAAATCTATAAAAGAGCTTTCACAGACGGGAAACCAAAGAATCAATATGGAAATTAAATCTCAAATTCGAGTCCAATGTCACACCAAGATTTCTAACACTGTAAGCAAAAGGCAAGCAAGGACACACATTATTATCATCACAAGTATGAAAAGCAAATTTTAAATTGTTAGTATTTATTGTCTTTTTAAATGAAAAGTGTAATACATTGATTTTTTTTGTGTTTAAAAGTGAAAGTTTGAGTTTAACCAAAAATTAATCATTTTCATATCATTATTTATAGTTTAGGTTAAATTAATTATATTATCACCTGAGAAAATTATACAAGTATCATCTGCATAACTAAATATTTTTCCAGAGAATTTAATTTTCAAAAAATTGTTAATATATAAAAAACAAAATTGGTCCTAATACTGAGCCTTGTGGTAAATCCGATTCAACGCGTAAAGAAGAACTATTGTATAAACTGTTCCAACCTTTGTGGCCAGAGTTCTGTAGGATAAATATGATTCAAGGAGTTTAAGGGGAATATTAGAGATATCAATACACTCAACAGAGTCGAAAACCTTTTTAATATCCAGAAACAATCCAATAACTTAATTACTTTATTAATTTCTTAAGAAATCAAGTTAGTAACATCAAACAAAGCCTGCTTAGTGAATCTGCCAGGAAGAAGACCATACTCTTTTGGAGAAATTAATATATTTTTAATAAAGAAGTCCAATAATTATTTTTAATTGTTTTTTCAAGAATTTTGGATATGGATTTAGTGATATAGGCCTATAGTTATTAACCTCTAGTTTGGAACCAGATTTAAGTAATGGTATTACTAAGGATTTTTTAAAAGCAGATGGATATTGACCAATTGAATACATCATTATAATCACGAGTATGAAAATCAAATTTTAAATTGTTAGTATTTATTTTCTTTTTCAATGAAAAGTGTAATACATTGAGTTTTTTGTGTTTAAAAGTGGAAGTTTGAGTTTAACTAAAAATTAATCATTTTCGTATCATTATTTATAGTTTAGGTTAAATTAATTATATTATCACCTGAGAAAATGATACAAGTATCATCTGCATAACTTAATATTTTTCCAGAGAATTTAAATTTCAAAAAATCGTTAATATATAAAAAACAAAATTGCTCCTAAGACTGTACCTTGTGGTACACCCGATTCAACGGGTAAAGAAGAACTATAAACTGTTCCAACCTTTGTGACCAGAGTTCCGTACGATAAATATGATTCAAGGAGTTTAAGGGGAATATTAGAGATACCAATACACTCAACAGAGTCGAAAGCCTTTTTAAAGTCCAGAAAAAATCCAATAATTTAATTACTTTATTAATTTCTTAAGAAATCAAATTAGTAACATCAATCAAAGCCTGCTTAGTGAATCTGCCAGGAAGAAAACCATACTCTTTTGGAGAAATTAATATAATGAATTTAATTTTTAATAAACAAGTCCAATAATCTATTTTTAATTGTTTTTTTCTAGAATTTTGGATATGGATAAAGTTAGTGATATAGGCCTATAGTTATTAACCTCTAGTTTTGAACCAGATTTAAATAATGGTATTAGTAAAGATTTTTTAAAATCAGATGGATATTGACCAATTGAATAAATTAAAAATGTGTATTAAAGCTGGAATTATAAATGTAGAAATTTTTTTAAGAACAAAATTATTTAAAAAGTTACCATGAAAAGTATTATCTCTCAAACATTTAAAAAGGGGTTCAAGTCTGGAACAGGTTACTGGTTTTAAAGTAAACGGTGTTGTTTGTTCTCTCAAAAGTACGATTTCAAATGTACTATTTTGAATTTCCTCTTTAATATTCTTGCCAACACATGAAAAAATTTATTAAATTCATTGACGATTTTAAAATTATCTGTTATATAGCCATCAGAATCAGAAAATAATTTTATTTAATGTTTCCTTATTAGATTTGTCATTAGTTGCTGATCTAATCAACTCCCAAATCTTTTTAGGATCTTGGTCAGAATCAGCAACCAATTATTTCAATTATTAATTACTTTTGCAAATAGAGTATCGTGCTAAATTCAAGTTGGAAGATATCTTACTTTGCCATTTGGTTTTCCTCAGAATAGCTATTGCAATAATACGATATTCTATAAATAAATAAAAACTTTATTATAACATTTGTTATTAATTTTTGACATATGTTATATATGTTTAATGGTGTCTATCCAACACATAGTGGAATATTATCAAATTTTACGGATTACTTTTGTTGAAAGTTACGTTTTTTTTCTATTATTATGAATTCAGGCATCTTAAAACGCCCACCGTTTTCTACTCGCGCAGAAGAATCTCTCGAGATGTTGTATGTTCACTTGAACTTGCTGTCTGCGGCTTCTCTTTCGGTCCTCCGCCGAGTCCCGCACAAAGCGAAAGCAGAGCGCTAAAATCGCTCAAACAACAGGCTAAGGCGACACATTTCAGCTCAATGAAGATGAGAATGAAGCAGATGATACTCACGAAGTAGAGGCCACCTTCGACTATATTTCCCGCCTTTTCGGAACAAGAAGAACTGTACGCCGATTTTACAGAACAACTACCTTTTTCCATTCCGCAACATGACGGTGGTAGATCCTTTATTTTCCACACTTTCGGACCAGACATACCGCAGCATAATATAACCGACTGTAGTTTGTCTATTTCGGCTTTGTGCTGGTCGTAGGTTCGGAACTTTTCCTCGAGAGTCCTACTGAGAGAGTTGCGGATGGTAGCCATGCGTGTAAATATCGTAACACCGACCACGATTTGCGTTACTACAAGCGTTAACATCAGACACGCGTATATTAGGAGAAAGAGGCTGATGTGCATTGTCACCCCTGCCATCCCGACGAACGCTATTATGAATAGTAAAACCCCCAAGCCGATAAACGTCCTTCCTACGTGAATATGATCACTGAGAAAAGCATCGAGAAAGACAACTTCGTTCATTTTCATCTTCCCGAATATAATCATGCCGAAGCCTATTGCCGCAGTGACGATGGTGGCAAGTAGAAGATACAACTTTCTATATCCACACATAATAGACCTTAAAACTGTTCAAGACAAGGGAAAAATCATTTTTATCAGGGAATCCTAAATACTTTTTCACCAATGGTATTAATAGACAAATTTTCACATCTGTTTATTATATAACCACATAAATCAAAATACAATGGTTAATTTTTCTTTGGCAGTATTTATAATATATTTTCATATTAATTTATATTAGCCAATTACACGTTTCGATTAAGTATATTTCACTCACTCGCGCACTACTNGACATCATTGTTGTTATCGTATATATATAAATATATATATATATTTGTAAATCTTCGGGTTTTTGAGGATTTCATGTAGATTGATGTAGATTGGTAGGTAAGGGGATTCCTTCTTCCAGATGTCCTGATGTGCATGATCTAGCCGGGGGCAATCCAGGAAGACATGGTTTGAATCTTCGATCGCTGCTCTCTGACGGTGAGGTGACTCTTTTACTCCTATGCGGTGTAGGTGTGACGCCAGTCGATGATGGTTGAGTCGCAGACGAATCAGTGTGATGTAGAATTTCATTTTCTCTTTGAATGAATGGTACCATGCTCTTACATGGACACGAGGGACTAGGGTTCCATAATACTTTCCTTTCTCCTGTAGGTATGCGCCATAATCTTCGTTCCACGAAGAGAAGACTTTTTTTTTATTTGTGCTACTATGTCTAAAGTCGTAATCACGTGATCCCTGCTTTCACCCGTTGAAGTCGTCTCCTTGGCTAATCTGTCCATCTTTTCGTTTCCTTGTCCTCCAGCGTGCCCTTTGGTCCATATAATCGCGGCTGAGCTGTACTTGCAACTCAAGCATCAGAGATCTGATTGTGAATATCATTTTTGGGCTTTCGGAGCTAGGTGCGTTAATGCTTAGCACTGCACTTAGGGAATCTGACATGACTACTATCCTGAGCTTCATTTCACGCTTGGCATATAGCAATGCCTCTTTTATTGCCAGTTGCTCTGCCGTGTATACGGAGGTTTCTCGCTGAGCTGGAGTTGGGCATATTGTTTGCTCGTTGTTTCAAGAAATGCTGCTCCTACTCCAGTTTCGCTTTTGGATCCATCAGTGTATATATATATATATATATATATATATATATGGACACTGATGTAAGTCTTGCGTGAAATTCCTGGTGGCCATGATGGATAAAATTAGATATATAATCAGCTTCTTGATGGTTTTAAAATAATCGACATTATATGTTTGTATACCCTCGGATTTTTCCGGGTTCCTGTTGCATAGAGGCGCGAGCTCACAGAATAGCGATATTAAGAGTAGAGTTCTTTTTTATCCCAGAATGTTTTGGTCAATGAGTGTTATGCCAACGTTGAGATCTTGGCGGGATTTTTGACATGATCTTTTCTGCAACAAACTTTCCGGTCAACTTTTTCCTTCTAATGTTGGGTGGAGGTTCCTTTGCTTCAACTAATAAGGCGTTAATCGGGGAGAATGTCAAAGCACCCATACTTGCGCGTAAGGACTTGTATTGGGTTCTATCCTGCTTTAAAAGATGCGACTTGGCGGCATCATTATAAAAGAGACTTAACGTAGTCAAATCGGGACAGTACTGGGGTTCGGTGTAATAGGAGGGATGTTTTGATGTCTGACCCATAGTTGTGATTGATGCATCTTATGATGTTAATTGCATTTTCACAACTGGCTACTGCGTTGTTACTTTGTTGTTTCCATAGGAGTTTTTTGTCAAGATGCACGCCAAGCAGTTTGACGCATCGGTGGGGGACCAAAGTCAGGTTCCCTGGTCTGTAAATATCCGGTTGAGTGTATTTGCGGTGTCTCGTGAACATAATAGAGGAGCATTTCTCTTGATTTTTGACCCAAGCCTGGAGGTTCTCTACAGGATTTATTCATAGTTTCGGGGGCTCGTTCGGGTGAACGTCCTTCGCAGTAGAGCGTTATATCGTCGACCAAGAATATCTTTTTAGTCTCATTTCCAATTGAGTCGCCCAAATCCGCAGTATTTATGTTGAATAGGATCGGGGCGAGGACGGAGCCTTGTGGGACGCCTGATGAGATATTCCGTGGCCACTGGAGTGATCCCTTTGCCTTAACGTAAAGACTCGCCTTCTAGGAGGAGATCTGATACATTTCTGACTAGTTTGTAAAGTATCCCATTTTGTTGACTAGGATGTCGATATAGGCGTTGGTTGGTTAATTTATGCAAAATAAAAGTCTTGCATCATTATTATCTTTTAGGAAAATATTGTAACCAAAAATTGTTTTAATTATTGTTTCATTTGATGCAAAAAAAAAAAGTAACGGTAGGGAAAAATTATTTGAATACCTCAAGTCAATACAAGTGTATGGTTGCATATTGGAACATTCATGCTTGACGATCTTTGAGACGTGACTGCATTTATTGGCAAAAATGTTGTGTGTGTGTGTGCGCGCGTGCGCAAGTCAGACGGAATATCGAATACTTTTCAGACTCACCAAAGTAGGTGTAGATTAATAAATGTGTCACGTTCAGATTTAAATGAACCGCCATACCCCTCCACACACTCAAACAGTGAAAGTAGTAGGGGGCCAAGAAAGGGCTATTTTTTTCAAGTCCTAGAACATATCCCTTTCTGGCTTGTGTGGGAAAACAGCTATTTTTGGTAAAAAGAAAAATTTGGCGTGCACACTATTCAAGTGAGTTAATTTTTATTACTTTAGTTTTAAAATGGTATATATTTTTATAAAGAAAAATAAAAGAAATAATATTTCATTTTAAAAGTTGTGTTAATATTTTAATTGAATTTTCTAATTTGGCGGTCAAAATTTTAATAATAATAATAATAACTTCTTTACCTTTCTTTATGGAACTATAAAACGAGAATCAAATTCCATTTTAAAATTAAGGTTTGTAGATTTGAGATAGGTTTGTTATAGGATAAAAGGATTCTTTAAATTAAAAATAATAATTAATAAAATATATCGTCATATCATGTGAAAATAAATTGTAATTAAAGATTCAAATTTAACAAACATTTGGTGTCGTATTTATTTTGGTTTAAATGAAATATAAAAGGTGCCTGATCGATAAATGAAATAATTGTGGTCAAGTCCGATCGTAAAAAACCTCTGGGACCTTGTTTTCGGTTTTCCGAATTCATGGTTGGGCCCATCAAAAAAGAAGAAGAGACACGCTATATCACATATGTTTGCAGTTTGAAAGGAGTTGTAGGCCACTGGAGTAATTCAAAAGCCCCTGTGACTACTCCTATGTGTGAATGTATTTATATGCGCAAATGTGTGTGGTGTATATGGCGGAATATGGAGAACCCCACGGACCTGTCGATTTTGATAGGCTAGTTATGAATGGACGCGGTTTGGTAGGCGGGTCGCCACCGAGTAATATTAAATCTACGGCGACTACCCACCTTTTGTTTGTACGTAAGGCTTGAAAGATTCTACTCTGAATGAGTGTATTTATAAGCGTGAAATGGGAAGACGATGAGGCCATGAACACCTTGTCGGCTTCCCAACTGTAGTTTGGTAAATAATATAGTGTGTAAATATGGTCATGTATGGAAGATTGAATTAGGACCATAAGGTACTTCTGGAAGTGTGGAAGTTAGGAAGAGTATAAATGACATCTATACCAGTAATAAATAAAAAACGCAAGATGGAAAATATGTGAGGAGCTGGCAATGACCTTAGCAGTTAGCCAGCAAAAAAAACTTGATGCGTGTACCTTTGTTGAAGAGGGACTGAGAGAAAGAGAGATTGATAAAGAGAGAGAATATGAGGGAGAAAGAGACAGAATAAAATTGTATAGAAATGACTGAGTGACAGAGATAAGAAGAAAGTGTTACAAATACAAAATTAGAGTAGAAAACAATTCGTGCCTGTGGAACTGGTTTGAATTACTGCATTAATTTTTCTTTGGCAGTGAAAATAAATCCTACCGTCCTACCTGGCATATTTACTCGCATATTTGCATAAAATAGTCGTAATGTGTGTATCGGAAGGAAAATAACTTAAGCAAAATGCATAGTTTGACTTTACCATTGTTCCAGTTCTATTTTTTCCACAAGACGGGCCAGCAGCCACTGTACTGTTATAAAAAGGAGCGGCCTACTTTGTTCGCATGACTGATTGATTGATAGCAGCTGAAGATAACACTTCCATGAATGGGCCTTCCGCCCTAAGGGCACGTTGAAGTCTGTGTTTATAGCAGGCCGGGATCGCGTGCCCGTCCACCGTACTCCTCAGCCGAACAAACCGGAATTATTTGGGAATTCTCAGTTGAATTTGTAAGGAAACCGACCGGTGTATAATCTAATTTAGGCCCAGCCTCTGGCTCTTAATTGCCATTGGCTGCAAACAAACAGCTTCAGGGTGAGCCTGATATATACTTAACGCGGAATCATTCTGATTTGGTGTAAACTTAGAGCTTTTAAAACTCGCGATAATTAATCCCGTTTCTTTAATTACGTAGCTCAATTTGGTTTATTGCGTATCTTGAGACCTCATTAATTGTAATCCAATCGTTTCACAAGCGAATTACGACAATAAGAATTATTGTTAAACTTAGCCCAATTTTGCTTACGTTGGCATTGCCAAAAAATGTTAGAAAGCTGTATTAAAAGTCGGTTATTGGAATTTATAAGTTAAAATACTATATCATATATTCAATGGATTCTACGTTGGAAGAAGACACAGCAAATTCTTTATGATGTTACATCTTTGTATCAACTTCTGTAGTCAACACATTTAATTCAAAAACGATTCAAACCCCAGTTAATTTTGACTAGAAATTGGTGGTAACTGATTTACATAATTTTCTCATCTAGCTGAGAAGTGACACTAAGATTGTTATTTTAAATAAGATGCCTAGATTTGTATTGTTCTGTTCAATTTTAGAGCTTATTTTATGCCACTTTACTGAAAAAAAAGTGTGTTTCTTAGTGACCTGTTGTTGAGGGCCATTTTGTTGTTCCAAAGAGCATAACTCCCCTCACGCGTCTTCCTTCGAGCATAACGCAAAAATG